GTGTAGCGCTGAGCTAATACATATATATGATGATAGCATTGAGGCTAATGCTAAAGCTAACAGGCTAAGCTGAGGTTCTTCTTAGAGAGCGTTGACAGAGAGGAGAAGGTAGAAATGACTCAGCCTGGAACTGAAAATATGGATGGAGGACAACAGAGCTGCTTCATGGAAGAACAACCTCAGCTTAGCCTGTTAGTATTCGCGCTAGCACCGACGCTATATTGCCTTATATGTATTAGCTCGACGCTAGTGCAAAGGCTAACAAGCTAAACTGAGGTTTTCTTAATTATCTAGCACAGTTGATGTTTATATTTTTACATTTCAGTACATGCAGAATCATTCACTTTAACAAAGTACATCTGAATTTRAAGAATGACAAGTGGTTGATCATCTTACTTTACACTTGGAGCAGAGGCTGCCTTTAAAAAGCGGGTGGATTATCTCAATGTCCTCAGTTCCACAACACAGACAATAAGCTGCAGAATAAGCAGAAACAAACAACTAATTAAAACGAGAGGAAGGCAGTAGATAATTCACAACATATCCAAAGAGCTATGTCAAAAACAGAACATCACAAACAGTTTGTGTGCTGTGGTGCTGTAAGATCTTCAGTAAACATTCACCTTCAATGTTCAGATTCAAGTCCATGATCCTTTTGATGGTCTTCTCTGAAAAGAGTAAATTAGGTTAACAATGTATCAGCACCTTAACACTCCTTTGTTTTATTGTAGATATATGAAACTAATTCATTAGTATCTTCACAAACAGATTATAACATTCAAATAATCTATAGTGTCTGCTGTAAACCAATATACTGTATTTTCATATCATTCACCCCCTCTAAGTGTCTCCGRTGAAAGCAGAACCACAGAACTGCTGAGCCAGCCATGAATCAGAATCACCTTTATTGTCATTATAATTTGCATAACAATGAAATTGTGTTTGCTGCTCCAAGGTGCTGGAGTTTTGAGTAAAACAAATCGTGTTTCCATCCAGTTGTAGAGTGAATTTTTATAGAACTTTTCAAAACTCGCAAAAAAATTAAATAAATAAAAATTTGAATCTAGACTGTTTCCATCTAGTTTCCCTCTCAAGGCTACGCAACGCGTGATTATGTCAGACGAGGCTACGCAACGCGTGATTATGTCAGACGAGGCTACGCAACGTGTGATTACGTCAGACGAGGCT